ACTGGGGCTGAACGGATCGAACAGCAACAAAAGGAATTTACAAAACTTTTCAAATCACTTCAAAAAGTTATCAGTGAAATCGACGGGCCACATTTTTCAATTGCATTTGAACTCTCAAAGAACTGCAAGTATTGGAAATGGCCAATGGTCCAATCGTTTTTAAAGAGACAAGAGTTGAAATTGTATCCATTCCACGGTTGCCAGTTTGGGGTTATTGACTTGGACGGGAACCCCATGAAAAAGGGTTGGATGATTGCAACAAACATGGAAGAGTTGTCAAGTCTTTCAGAATACGTTTGTGACGGTTCTCACACTCATGGTCAAAGCCGGGGTACTGCATTGAAACTTGCAGAGAACTACACGTTCAAGTTGACAGACTTCATCCATGATTGTTTTCGTTCCATGATTGCTAACCAGGCACAAACCGCCAAGAACAGGAAAAGGTTAGCTCTGCCCGCCATGAGCCGCCGTTCTGATGATTCAAATCTGTCAATCACTGAAAAGATGAACGTGCGGGCTCTCAAGTCGGCCGGTTTAAAGACCGTGCCCCAACAAAGCAACATGTCGGAGTGGCTTGCTTTTCGGAAGTGCCTTGATGTTCAGGGGGACAGGCATGCAGGATGGGAGGACATCTTTTCAACAGTCCTCGCTTCGTCGACGATCCTGGCGCAAGGAAACAGGACGGAAGACCTCGAGATTGCCGCAGGATTAATGCAATGCTTCACTGCGCAATCCATGTCAACTGACGCCCTGACAAATGTGCCGTGGGCAAAGGAGATCCGCCATCTGTCCGAGCTCGAGCACGACTCGCTGTGGGATCTGAACTTGCCTACTGAGTATGTTCCTGGGACATCAAGGCCGGCGGTAGACGTCGTGCCCACCATCTATGTGGTGACTTCCGATTCAACTTTGGCTCTGATCACTGGAAAGGGTAAGACTTTGAAGAAGTACACCTTGAAGGAGGATCTGGGATTGCGAAAGTCAGACATGGTTCTCGAAATCGGTCATGACATGCTCTGGGGAAAGGATTTGCAACAGCTCTGCAAAGCAAATATTTCCATGATCAAGGAACTGATGGCGAAATATTCTTCTCATGGGTCAGCCATCAGGGTTATTTCGGTAATCTTTTGGTCTGGGAATGAAATTTGTGGGGAATATGGTGTTGAACCCCTTCCCATTTGGGGGCAGAGGGAACCACAGGGCGACTGGAATGCCATCATGGACAGGGTCAAGGGCAACATTGTGTGGTGGAACAATCAGCTCAAGGAATTGGGAGTGGATCAGGCCGCCCTAATCGGCGAGCCCGACCCGCTCACTTATGGATTGAGTCTCATCTTTACCACCTTTGTTGAGCGCCTGAAGGAATGGTTCCACAAGGCGATTGCCAGTGACAACGATCGGATCAGGTGGATACAGAATGACAAGCTTCCACCGAGGCTTGAGCTCAGGGACTACTTTCACGCATTCGAGACCGAGCTCAACCGAAGTGAAATGATCGGATATGTCATGGCAACTCTCCACATGCTGCACATGACAGACATCTTGGTGCCAGAGTACAATTTGTCTTTGTACAAGCGCAGGCGTCCTGCAGGGGAAGCTACTATGCGTGATGTCGCACCAAAGATGGAGCACCTCCCAGTCAGGTTTGTGCAGGTCCTCACCGCTCTCCGGGAGAAGACGAACAAGTCTGCACCGAGCGTCTCGACCCCAGAAAGCTTCACAGCAGAGGAGTTGAGAGATCGCCCAACTGACGCTGGTGTCGCCGAAGATGATGATGAGGAAGGCGACCCATGGGATGCTCTGGATCCCAATGAGTATGAGGGCCCATCTGTTGGAAAGGCAAAGGCCAGCCATGCAGCACCTGCTGACCCCAAGGCGAAACCTCAGACGACACAGGAGGATTCAACTCAGGCCACCTCAACTGGTGAGCCCCTGCAAGAAAACGAGATCAAGGGTACCATTATTCCGAAACATGCACTTGGACACCTTGACAAATATCGTATCACTTTGGACGAAAACATCAATGCAGAAGTAGTTGAACATTGTGTCGTTGATGCCCATCCCTACGAATTGATTGTCAAAACCTGTTGGGAGATGGATGGGGCAAAGGAGCTGAGGTACCCAGATCGCATGGACCGACACAAGACCAAGGTCAATGCTGTGACACGTGGACAGCCAGGTCAGGACACCTCTGGATTTGATGAAAACATGTGGCTTGATCTTGATGACTTCTTTCGAATGTTCAATCAAATGCTGCCAGCCAAGTTGCCTCGGATGACGGTTGAAGAGCTCATCTCCCTTCTTTGGTGGGACAGCAAGTGCCGTTTTGAGTTCCAGTGCATTGCCGGGTACCAGAAGGCAACCCGTAAAGGGTTAGCCTACTGGCCCATCAGGATCCGTGCAGTGCAGGGGCACACAAAACGTGCCATGGATGCCGCCTCGGCTGAGGACACGTTCAATGCAGTGGAAATCTATGCTCTGTCTGGAGCAGCAGCGATCCAGAAAATGAACGCCAAAGGTAAAAAGATTACCACTCCTCAGATGTGCCCTGGCGTAGTTTATCACAGGACTACAAAAGGCAATTGGAAGGGCATCATTGAGAATGGCTTCGTTGCTGGAGGAGGAGAACGAAATTCATCAGGCAGAGCACACTCCTATTTTAGCGAAGTGCGTGTCGACGAGAAAGAGTATGTGAGCGGTTTGCGTGCTGAACGACCCATTGAAATCAGGGTAGCAATGGCTGAAGCTGTCAAAGCTGGCATTGTGTTTTTCAGGACAGCCTGTGACGGCATTTTGACAAGTGACGTCGTGCCGCCTCAATACATTATCTCTGTCGATGACACTGCCAAGAAGGTGAATTTGTATCGCCGCCATCAGGAGGTCGCGCAGTCTGCAGCAAGCAGTGGGGGAGAAGTTGGAGTCCAGGAGCTTGTCGAGACCTTTGAGGCCAAGGCATCAAAACGGACTGGTTCCAAGTCTCCGGCCGCCTCAACTGGCGCGCCCACTGCAACGGCATTTTTCCCAGGAAAGGTGAAGCCTCCGCCGCCAAATGTGGCCCAACTTGCCGGTATGCCTGGGTATGCAAGCAGCAGATTGTTGCCCCCTCCTCCGAAGGGTGAAGCTCCAAAGCCTCCTGCAGCAAAGGTTGAAAGCCCAAAGACACCGCCGAAAGTACCTCCAAAATCATCACCGAAGGAAGGGACTTCTGCACCTCATGCACCAGAAGTTCCAAAGGCTGTGACCTCAGAAGTTGATGCAGCAGCAAAGGATGAACCTGCAAAGAAGAAGGCAGCCCTGACAAGCGTGCCCGCAGCTGTGCCTGCGGCATCATCAGCTGCGGCCTTCTTGGAGCCTGTATCAAAAGTTGCACCGCCCAAGGCAGTACAAAAAGATCCAAAAGCTCCAGTTGCAGAGTCACCCACAAAGACGCCGGCATCAACATCCAAGTCACTGGTGCCAAAGCAGAAGTCTCGCCCTAAAGGCGATGACCAACCTTCGAAGAAAGAGGTGAAGAAGGAGGAAAAGAAGCCGGTGCCGGTCAAGATCGAAGTCACGCAATGTTCAAGATGTTTTGCACAGACTTTCAAAGGACAGATTGAATGCGATGTGTGTGGATTGATGCTCGAAGGGGTGAACAAGGCCGACCGAACCAAAATTGCAGAACGCAGGAAGGCCGCCCTTCACAAGCTGGGCTTGTTCTACGATTTCCGTGGCGAGTACCTGCAGAGCATCACACACAGTCAGCTGGAATCTTTGGGTTTGTTGGACGACCAGGCAAGAGGAAGCTCGAGTCCTGAAGCCAGTCTATTGGCAAGGGCGAAGAGTCGATTCGACCGCGCCTTGAGCTTGGGCTATGTGTCTGTAGCTGACAGGTTTGCCCAGGACGCCACATTCGCAGAGAGCGTGCTGAACGAGGGGGAGAACGAGTACGATTGTGAAAGGTACGACCTCCTCAAGTCTGCACATCTGCCAAAGCCAGGTCGTACAAAGGCTCAGGTCAAGATGGGTGTTTCTGAGCAATCTCAGCTGGAGCACAATGCTATGAGGCTGGTTTACTTGGACTTGGCAAGCCGTCTTGACGTCCCGAAGTCGTTCAGGTACATCGACCAGCCATGGTTCTACATGTACCGGACGGAAATCTACTCCGAGGAAGAGTACATTGACTACCTGAACCGGAATCCTGGACACAACCTTTTGTTGTCTTGTACTGGCGTTGACAACATCGCTGTTCATGATGCTGAACGGCATTTGAGGTGGATCAAGGGACAAAATGAAGAGCTGTACAAGCAGAACGCTGCGGAGAAGAAGAAACAGTCTGACAGGGCTCGCGAGCAGAACGAGGCCAAGCGCAAAGCTGAGCAGACTGGTGCGTACGGCCAGGGTCCCTCCAAGAAAGGCACCGCCAAACCGGTTGCCCGAACATCCACCGTAGAGGTAGCTTCATCATCAACGTCTGCAAGTCAGTGGATCAACCGCCCTCAGCAAAGTCAGTCCCACGATGATCGCCGTTACACTGGAGAATGGCAGAAGTGGCATGGGCGCTGGTATGAGAAAGTTATCAGGCATGGCCGAGTTGAGTGGGAAGAGGGATAAGTTGTGAAACTGCTTGCATTGGCGATCGATTTTTGTATCATAGCCGCTGAGTGTGTTTTCCCTTGGGTTTGCAAAGAGCCAGTTCGGTGAGGCAGGTTTAAAAACCTCGCCCGGTATTGTGGCATCCTCGCCGTAACCGGCTCACCTGAGGGGGGTGTAAAAGCACCTCACATAAAACACACATGTATCATAGCAGTATACCACAGCTGTTGCGGCTCAGTAAAAGGCGCTGCTGCCGCAGGTGCTTAACGGTTTCTAGTTTTGCCCCATAGGTTTATCAGTCTATTTGGGATTATAAGATAACCCCAGCTGAAACCTGAAAATACAATGTTCACATATGTTCACCATATGTTACATATGTTGACTGTGTGTTGCACGATTGTTTACGTCCAACCACGATGCTCCAGTCTTTGGCTGCGGTTGGCCTCGATGGAAAGGGAGCCACAGGAGGACCACAAAGGGCCAAAGGGGATTGTTCAGATGAGCACTTTCCTTTTGGAAATGGCATTGATGGGCACTAGCTGCAGATTGAACCGAACTCTCATTGGTTCATTCATATTGATCTATCCATTTACAGCTCGGTTTTCTCAACAATGGCGCAACGTTGATACCTGATCGTGGGCTCTATTGAGCTTTCACTTCAGATCTTTCTGATCAATCGGACAACCACAGCTGTCTTGAACAGTTATGGAGTTTAAAGCTGTATACTTGAACAGGAGAAACAGAGAGGGTTGCTGTCCACATTACATTTTGTGGATTTTTATTGTTGACACCACCCAGCGAGTTGGCCCTTCATGTGGGTCACACGTCAATGCCCAGTGACGCGTCTCGCCTTGCGATTTCAGATCTTTTACTTCCTGTTCACAAACAACATTGGAAAGAAAGACCCAGCTCTCTATGAGGTGGGAAGCCCAGGGATACCTGAGACGTCAAGACATGTCAAGACCATCCCGAGGGTAACAAGCTGAATGTCTCAATCTGTCTCAATCTGTCCCAATCTGTCCCAATCTGTCCCAATCTGTCCCAATCTGTCTCAAACGGCCGATGCCTTCTTGATTCATATCGTGATTTCTGTCAGGGTGAAGCTCATAAGCATTGAATTGTTTGATTTGCAGTGTTGCTGCCTCTGTTCTACGGTGGCAGCGATTTGGACACACTTTGAAACATGTTGGGCTTGTGCAGAATGCCATATTGAGTTTGAGCAAGCATTATAGCTGTACAAGGAGTGGGCATTTGCACTGGAGAGACGCAAAGAGTACCAGAAGGCCAGCAACCTCGACAGTTTGCCAGGCATTTGGAATCGAACTGTTTGAAATGCAGATTACAGAACTACAATGTACGCTAAACTGTCCATTGTCAAATTCTGCCAAAGTTCAGAGGCTCTGTTGCCCTACCGGTCTAGCAACACCTCACGTACTGCCAGCAACGTAGTTCCCTCTGTGTCAGAGGGAGCGGTTGATTCCTCCAATTCCTGCCCAAACGCCAAACTACCCACCAGTTGTTGGCCTGTGCCAAAACACAAGGCGCATGACCTCCTTTTCGATGGCATGTTCCAGTGCCGCGACAATTCCGCAGCAAGCCAACGCCAGAGACCGAGTAGCGGGGCGAAGGCTTGCCAAGCAAATTATGCCACAGGAATCAAAGAGTTTTGGACTAATTTTTTACTGAATGGATTTTGACACTTCGGGAAGCAAGAGGCAAACATGGCCAATCCATGCCAATCCCATCACGTCTACCTGAAGTCAGGTACCCTTGTTTAGAGATGTTTAGAGGCCTTCAGTTCTCCGTTCACAGCTATTTCTCAAGGATTTTTGCCTGTTTGGAGAGCACCGAAGTAGGACAGGCAATGATCAGTGCGGGTAGGGCAGCAGTGGAGATCATTCAAGGATATCCAAACATAACATAATACCCAAACCTCCTGAAACGTCAAGCGTTTTGTTTTTTTTAATATGTTTTTATCACCTTGCTTTCCGGACCTGCAAATGCTAAGGCCTCTCTGCTATCAGGGAGGCCTTGACGATGCTTGGGCACCCGGGAGTGCGGCTGTTCCAATCCCTCACCGTATGGCAATTCCATCCTCTTCCATCTTCGGTCTGTCACTTGAAGGAACAAATGTGCAGCAAAAACACAATCGATACGCGTATTTAAATTATCCCGGCAAGAGACCCTAAACAGTGTGGGGGGAGTAAAAGGAGAATGTATTCCCATGATCATGATGATGATGATGATGATGTTCATGTTGATGATATGATGATGCTGATGGTGGTGTTGATGATGGTGATCGTGATGATGATGATGATGGTGATGATGATGATGATGATGATGGTGGTGATGATGATGATGATGAGGGTGATGATGATGATGGTGATGGTGATGATGATGATGATGATGGTGAAGATGACAGTGATGATGATGATGATGATAATGATAGTGATGATGAGAGTGATGATGATGATGATGATGATGATGATGATGATGATGGTGGTGATGACGGTGATGATGATGATGATGATGATGATGATGATGATGATGATGATGATGATGATGATGATGATGATGATGATGATGATGATGATGATGATGATGATAGTGATCGTTGTGGTGATGATGATGGTGATGGTGATGGTGATGATGATGATGATGATGATGATGATTATAGGAAGATGATGATAGGAAGATGATGGGAGGAAGATGATGAGAGGAAGATGATGATAGGAAGATTATTGAGAGGAAGATGATTGAGAGGAAGATGATGAGAGGAAGATTATGAGAGGAAGATTATGAGAGGAAGATGTTGAGGAGGAGGAGGAGAAGGAGAAGGGGGAGGAGGAAGACCGATCCCAAGACCGGGAAGCACACTTTGCGCAAGCCTGCGCAGTCGAAAATGCACATGGACATGTCACAGGAGGCATTTTGTGCGGAAATTTACATGGAAAATGCCAGACGCTAATCCCCGGGGCAAGCATTTTGTGCGAGCCTGCGCAGTCGAAATGCACATGGACATGTCACAACAGGCATTTTGCGGAAATTTGCCGGGAAAGTGCCAAACGCCCCGGATACCACCTCGATCGAACACCGGACCCTAACACTTACCGTAAGAACCCTTCAGTGTGGCCACATTGTTTGGGGAACATGATTTATATATATATATAGACGTGGGAAGCTACAGATGGAGAGGGGGAGAAAGGGCAAAAGTTCACAAGTTTTTTCAGGAAAAGCATGTTGTAATTTACGGCGAACTTCCGTCTGCTGTTGAAGTTTGGCGTTGTTTTGTTGATGGTGAGGATGATGAGGGAGCATCCATCTACCTAACCTATTTATACCTGACTGTGTTGTTGTCTTTAAGTTTGGCACTCCCCACGTGTTTGCTGTTGGCACCTCTTGACTTTCCAAGGCACATGATGGATTTGGGATTGTGGTCAGAGAACTCGGGAGGCCAACCCAAATCCAGACTGGATAGAGTTTTCATTTGTCTGTGTTGATGCAGCTGCTGTTGTTGTTTTCCGTTCTTAGTATATCTTAGTATAGAGTCATCAATCGGCTTTTGGTATGATATCGGTACGATAATGTATCATAATGTATCATGGTAGTCCTTAAATGGTTCTAATACATGCCGTTGTTTGATGGTCTGTGGTCTCAGCACATCCCGTGTCCTTTCCATGGCCTTTCCATGGCATGCTACACCGGCAGGGCCAAGAATGCTCTCCATGGAGGAACCAGAGCGGACGAGCTCTGAGCCCAAGGATCGAATTGGACCGTTGATCACCGTTATATGCCGTTATATTCCGTTATGTTGCATCAATTTCATTCAATTTCCACATTGCAACATGATGCAAAGATATGCAAAATCCGTGCCTCTGCTTCTGCAGTGTCTGACCAAAGTTTCACAGGGTGAAAACACACCAAATTTCCGACATGAACTCCGTGTCGTTGCCATTGATCACTGGATTCTCGAAACATTTTCCACATCAATATATTGTTTGATGAGGGGTGAGCCCTCTCACAGACTCTCCTGAAATTCTTGAAGAATCAGATTGAAAGCTTCGGAGCCAGATGGCTGGCATATGATGCATTTGTATGCCTGTGTTGGAATGATGTCCTCTGAGGCCGTCCTGCATTGAACCCCATTTCCATTGAAGAGGTGCAAAGCGTGCCGGACAGCGACGGTGGAGCGTGATTCTTTCCATTATTGAAGGTAGTCAGATGAAGTTTGCTTTGTTGTTGTTGGACAACCTCAAACCATCTCAAATCAAAGTGACATAGAACTATTAGAACACAATCATCGCATGAATCAAAGCAGGTGACATCCCTGCTCCAGCAGCTACAGATTGGAATCGTGCGTTTAGCTATACGTATGTTTAGCTACGTACGTTTTTTTCCAAGTTTCTGACCCTGCCCATACCCACGCGCTTCGGTGACTATCCAAGGGTTGACGACTGGAAAACAGCATGTGAAATAACGCCGTACTATGGCCTGAAATAAAAAGTCAGGAGTTCTCCTCATGCCAAAAGCCTTGGAACAGGGTCACTGTTTTGATATGCTACAAAGACAATCGTGTGCATGTGTAGTCCAACCCAAAGCCAATTATATAATCTGAATAATGTCTGAATAATCTATAACTCCAGACATTGGAATCAATCCTGATCAGCGTTTGCAGGCAAAAGAGCTAAATCGTCCTCAAGAGTGTCGACCTGTGGAGTCTAGGCATCAAGCGTCCTGGTCAAACCAAAAACCTTCTGCCAGATCTGCAGGAACAGAAGTGGAATGGAGCAATGAATATTGCGATTTGTCCTTGATACAGTACATCTTGACATGAAAATTGCAACGGACCCACATTATACAAATTTAATAATGTGTACATCCACCCGGCAGGCGCCTTTCAGGCGGACGACCAGTTGGAGCCTTGAATGACTTGAAGTCACATGCGCACTGTGCGATGATGTTGACACCAACTGCCGTGTCCACTTACCAGAAGATTGGTCAGCAGCATGCAGCAGCATGCAACACAAAATTCCATGACGCCAGGTCTTGATGCGGGTTAGGGGTCAGCCTGGCTTTGCAAGTTCGGGCTCCCAGCATTGGAGATCAGACAGCTAGCGGCTAGCGGACCACTTTTGCAGCCTTTGAAGAAACGGGGTTGTGTCAAAGGATCTAGCCTGATGTTCTCAAGATTTGATGAGGGTTGTTAGCACTCTAGCGACAAGATTTGACAAGTCCATTTACAGTAACTGAATGTAATTGGTGTAATTAGTACTGATTTGATTGCGACGCAGATGTCTCAAAAAGCTGTGCCGAATGCATAGGCATATTAGAGGCATGGTGTTCCAGTCATTTGAATATATTTGTCAATCCATTTTGATCCACTTTGATACATTTTGCAAGCTTTCTGCTTTGGGTTTCTCAGCCATTGTGCAGATGTGATCCACGAAGACTTGGCCGATGACCGCCCGGTTCTCCCAGGAGAGCCACGAGAGTCTGGGGACCTAAACTTAAACAGACTCCAGCTCCAAAATCCAGCAAGTCAGGGGATGTCAAGGGCCAACCGGCAAGGCCTGTGAACAAACCCAGTCGACATGTTGTTCATATGATTCATACATTATTCATACATCATCTCCATTCAGATGGTTGTTGTCAGATCTGGCGAAATTTCTGTCCAGTGATGTCCAGCGCAGATTGTCGCAAAGACTCTTAAATTTCTTAAAGCAGGAGTTGAACAATTTTTGAGTTATCAAGAAACTAGAAAACCGTATTAATATGGTGTTGAGATGTGACTTCATTGACCAGGGCATGTCAACAGATGCGACAAAGTTGCTTTCCCGAAGGTCTTTATTCGATACTAGTGCCTTGGTGCCGTCAGCCTCTCAGTGATTGCACTTGTATATATGTACTCAAAAGTTCAACAGGATGTTTTTATAGTTTGATTGTAAAGTGCAATTAATTTCAAGTCCAGCGGATCGAACAACCTGGAGACTCTCAGAATCATAGTTTGGAAGATACAACCGTGGCCATTTTGGCTTAAGCTGTTGATTGCTCTGGCTGCTGGTTTTGTCGGATTTGTTGTACGCAGTTTGTAGCTCCACCATCTTTGACCGTGGCTGGCCCCATGGCTACTGGATCTGCAGGTCGTGCTTCCATGGATCAGTTGGTGATGCATGAGAAGCAAGAGGCGGAGGTAACGCGAGGTGGCCCTCTCTCTCTCTCTCTCTTTCTCTATCTTATGCAACAAAATCAGCATTTAGTTGAGAATCGAACTTGCAGAGATGTGATTTGACAAATTCAAAATTCTCTGTGTCATTCTTGGGGCTTGCATTGCCATTGGTGCCATTTGGACGATCATCATGTTTTTTTCGTTTGAGAATGTCGAGGAAGTGAAAGGCCACAAATTGTTCCCGAAAACTCACGAGAACACATTCATCTATGGCCTGATGTCAATTCTAGCTGCCTGCGTTGCGTCCTCAGCATTGCGGTATTATTGCCAAGAGGAACATTGAGTGCGTTGTGTGGACATCTTTGATTCTTGGACAATTGTGCTGCATCATTGCACGGGCATACATTATGATCCAGTCACGACTAATGCCCGGCATTTGGGGCCGCGTATTGGTCTTGCTGGCGTGTGTCTCCTGGCCTGTGTGATTTGCTGCTACAAAGACATGGTTCCCATGACGTGAGTTGAGCTGCACCCGTCCATTTTGACCCTTGGTGTGATCAGTTTCCTGCTCGCTGCTCCGACACGCGTGCATCACATGTCGCCTTGGGAGCGTCATCCTGGATGAAGACATGATGCTTCTCATAAAGTCCAGGGCATCGAATTCTTCTGGGAAGGTAGCCTTGGTCTTCTTTTTTCATCTTTTTCAATCTTTTTTCCTTCATATTCGGGGATACCTTGTGCGTGTCTGCAAACACAGCGCGCACAGCACGTGCTGAAGTTTATGGCCGCTGGTACTTCGGGAAGGATGGAGGTTTACCCTTTGCCCAAAGTTTGCGCGTGGCTTGGACCACATCTTGGCTCTATCTGTTACGGCTGTTTCATTGTGGCATATTGTGGCTGTTGTGAAAGCAACTCAAGCACTTGTCACGTACTTGAGGAATGAGGCTGAGGCGGAGGGGAACAGTGTCATCGATCAAGGGATTTCTGAATGGGCATACATCCAGTGTGTAGATGTGTGTAGTACGGGCGGTGGGTTTTTGCGACCCCCTGCTGAGCCACGTTTGCCGTGATCTATGCTGCAAGTCTTGATGTCATTATAGCGTGCTTGATCGACCAAGTGCCTTTCCTGGGGGCACTCATGGTAGTATCTTCTTGGTGTATCTTGGTGTATCATTCTCACGTGGTAGTTGGGGGCTACAACACCACAGTTTTGCGTTCTGCTTTTACGTTGGTTTTCTCAGCTCATTGGTGGCTTTCATGCCATTGAATAGTGGTCCGATTATGTTTGCTTCGCCGAAGAAAGTGACTTGCTGCTCCGGCAAGCACTTGCTCTCTACGAGGCATTGGCCAAGGCACAGATCGCAGAAGATGAGCACTTTTTTGGATGGGCTCAGCCAGTTCCTCCGGACGAGGACCTCATCAAAATCAGATCCACAACCAGGGCGGCCGTGATGTGCGAGCTGCGCTGCTGATGGAGATGCAGGCCCAAGGCCAACCCCAAGGCCGACCCCAAGGACGCGAGTTCATAACCTGCGAAAAACGATGTGCACAGGGAGCTCCGAGGACTATTGGGACAGATCCTGGACAGATCCTGCCATACCCCTTGTTGGTAGTTTTGCTTATATATGGATCATGTCGTACATCACTAGTCTATCCCTATGCTTTGCCCAACACACCCATTTATAAGAGCTTATTTAATTGCCTTCCGCAAGCCCGCCGGCCATAGAGAGGTGGCCCCAAGGGAGTTTGATGTGCAGCTTCTGTGTGTAAAAGTGTCTGTGTGTAGAAGCTTCTGTGTGTAAAAGCTTCTGTGTGTAAAAGCTTCTGTGTGTAAAAGCCTCTGTGTGTAAAAGCTTTTGTGTGCAAAAGCTTCTGTGTGTAAAAGCTTCAGTGTGTAAAAGCCTCTGTGTGTAAAAGGTTGTGTGTGTAAAAGCTTCTGTGTGTAAAACCTTCTGTGTGTATAAGTGTTTGTGTGTAAAAGCTTCTGTGTGCAAAAGTGTTTGTGTGTAAAAGCTTCTGTGTGTAAAAGCATCTCTGTGTGTAAAAGCTTCTGTGTGTAAAAGCTTCTGTGTGTAAAAGCATCTGTCTGTGAGTAAAAGTTTTGTGTGTAAAAGCGTCTGTGTGTAAAAGCACCTGAGTGTAAAAGTGTTTGTGTGTAAAAGCTTCTGTGTGTAAAAGCATCTGTCTGTAAAAGTTCTGTGTGCGTGTGTAGCAGCTTCTGTGTGTAAAAGCATCTGTCTGTAAAAGCTTCGGTGTGTAAATGCTTTTGTGTGTAAAAGAGCGTTTGTGTGTAAAAGCTTCTGTGTGTAAAAGCATCTGTCTGCAAAAGCTTTCGTGTGTAAAAGCGTCTGTGTGTAAACGGTTCTGTGTGTAAAAGTGTCTGTAAGTAAAAGCGTCTGTGTGTAAAAGTTTTTTGTGCAAAAGGTTCTGTGTGTAAAAGCTTCTGCATGTAATATAAAAGCTTCTGTGTGTAAAAGCTTTTGTGTGTAAAAGGTTCTGTGTGTAAAAGTGTCTATGAGTAAAAGCTTTTGTGTGTAAAAGCCTCTGTGTGTAAAAGCGTCTGTGTGTAAAAGTCTCTGCGTGTAGAAGCGTCTTTGTGTAAAAGCGTCTGTGTGCAAAAGTGTTTGTGTGTAAAAGCGTCTGTGTGTAAAAGCGTCTGTGTGTAAAAGCTTCTGTGTGTAAAAGCCTCTGTGTGTAAAAGCTTCTGTGTGTAAAAGCTTTTGTGTGCAAAAGCTTCTGTGTGTAAAAGCTTCTGTGTGTAAAAGCCTCTGTGTGTAAAAGGTTGTGTGTGTAAAAGCTTCTGTGTGTAAAACCTTCTGTGTGTATAAGTGTTTGTGTGTAAAAGCTTCTGTGTGCAAAAGTGTTTGTGTGTAAAAGCTTCTGTGTGTAAAAGCATCTCTGTGTGTAAAAGCTTCTGTGTGTAAAAGCTTCTGTGTGCCAAAGCTTCTGTGTGCAAAAGGTTCTGTGTGTAAAACCTTCTGTGTGTAAAAGCTTCTGCGTGTCAAAGCTTTTGTGTGTAAAAGCTTTTGTGTGTAAAAGCCTCTGTGTGTAAAAGCTTTTGTGTGTAAAAGCCTCTGTGTGTAAAAGGTTGTGTGTGCAAAAGCTTCTGTGTGTAAAAGCTTCTGTGTGTAAAAGCCTCTGTGTGTAAAAGGTTGTGTGTGTGTAAAAGCTTCTGTGTGTAAAACCTTCTGTGTGTATAAGTGTTTGTGTGTAAAAGCTTCTGTGTGCAAAAGTGTTTGTGTGTAAAAGCTTCTGTGTGTAAAAGCATCTCTGTGTGTAAAAGCTTCTGTGTGTAAAAGCTTCTGTGTGCCAAAGCTTCTGTGTGCAAAAGGTTCTGTGTGTAAAACCTTCTGTGTGTAAAAGCTTCTGCGTGTCAAAGCTTTTGTGTGTAAAAGCTTTTGTGTGTAAAAGCCTCTGTGTGTAAAAGCTTTTGTGTGTAAAAGCCTCTGTGTGTAAAAGGTTGTGTGTGCAAAAGCTTCTGTGTGTAAAAGCTTCTGTGTGTAAAAGCCTCTGTGTGTAAAAGGTTGTGTGTGTGTAAAAGCTTCTGTGTGTAAAACCTTCTGTGTGTATAAGTGTTTGTGTGTAAAAGCTTCTGTGTGCAAAAGTGTTTGTGTGTAAAAGCTTCTGTGTGTAAAAGCATCTCTGTGTGTAAAAGCTTTTGTGTGTAAAAGCGTTTGTGTGTGAAAGGTTCTGTGTGTAAAAGTGTCTGTGAGTAAAAGCTTCTGCGTGTAAAAGCTTCTGTGTGTAAAAGCTTCTGAGGAGTCGAAGTCGGAGTAGGCGTCGGAGTAGGCGTAGGAGTAGGAGTAGGAGTAGGAGTGGTAGCAGTAGTGGTGGTAGTAGTAGTAGTAGTAGGAGTAGGAGTGGTAGGAGTAGTGGTGGTGGTAGTAGTAGTAGTAGTAGTAGTAGTACATATACTAGTACATGTAGTAGTACATATTCTAGTACATGTAGTAGTACATATACTAGTACATGTAGTAGTACATATACTAGTACATGTAGGACTAGTACTACTACTACTACTACTACTACTACTACTACTACTACTACTACTACTACTACTACTACTACTCCCACCACCACCACCACCACCACTACCACTACCATTACCACTACCACTACCACTACCACTACCACGACGACGACGACGACGATGACGACGACGACTACTACTACTACCTGTACTAGTACTAGTACTAGTACATATACTAGTACATATACTAGTACATATACTAGTACATGTAGTACTTGGAGGAGGGGGGTTGACCTTGATTCAGACGAAGCAAAAACGCGCAGCAAGAAAACAAAGGAACAAGTACAAGCCAAGAACTGAAACAAGTACAAACCAAGAACAGAAACAAGAACAACATCTTCCAATCAGACACGCCGGCAGGCCGGCGGATCTGATTGATAATTGCCCGTAGTAATGATTGCCTCTTTGTGTAAAATTGGAAACCGCACCTTTCTCCATCAGCAGTAAAAGAGGGATTTAAAGGCTTACGTCTGACAGCCAGGCACCGGCCAAGCAATAGTGGCACAATGTTGGCCCTATGTTGGGCCTATGTGGGCCTATGTTGGGCCTTTGTTGGCCCATGTTGAGCCATCTTGGGAACTATGTTGGGGCCATGTTTGGGCCATCTATGTTGAAACGATCTTAAAATGCCAATTTTTCCGCCCCGGGCGCCCTCCTGGAGCCCAAAACCATGTA